TTCCCTAGCTGTTAAAGAGCTCTGGACCTCTCTGCTTGCCTCATGATGTCTTTTGCCTAGTATTTGTTAATGTGCTACTTCTTATGGCAATGGCTTATCAGAGTTGAAAGATCTCCTTCCCTGCCATCTAAGAACATTAAGCTATTTAAGGAGGAGATTTACTCTATCAGGACAGTTCATAACATTTTTGGTTTTGTCTCACAGAAATTGTCTTAATGCCACGGAAGCTCAGAGTAATTTAAGTGGGGGAGAGAACCGTGTGCAAGTCCTGAAGACAGTGCCGGTTAACCTTTCCTTGAACCAAGATCCTCTGGAGTCATCCAAAAGGGAATACAACACAAGCATGTCTGGGAGCTCGACGCCCATCACAGGGACTGGAGTGACTGTAGTTAAAGCAGAGGAGTTCACCCCTGTTTTTATGACCCCACAAGCACACTATGCAAGAGGAGAAAATGAGGAGCACCGAGGGGTTATCTTTGAACCATATGAAGTGTCCAACATTGCTCCCCATACAAATTATCTCAAAGATGACCAGCGCAGTACTCCTGACAGTACATATAGCGACACCTTCAAAGATGGAGGAACAGAAGTAAGTTTTTCACCTCAAATTAGCATCTAAGAACTCAATAAAAAGCTGTAAACAAGATAAGGAGATTTGAGCTTGTAAACAAGATAAGGAGATTTGAGCTGTCCATAAGAGCCATTAGAAGAACAGTGATAGGTGTTTCAAGAAATTAATCTCTGCTCCTTGCTGTGTTCCTGTCAGTCAGCGCTCTGATTATAGGGGAGCATCATGAGGAGTTTCAGAAGACAGTTTTAAAGTTGTTTATTGGAACCTCTGAGAATAATAGATACTGATCTTTTGTTTTCTGGGATATTGTGTCAAGTAGAGGATAGTTGCCATTCTGAAAGAAGATCTGTTTTCCATTAACAAGATCTGCCTTCAGACCATAACAGTAAGAAATAGCAGCCACTTTGTAACTGGGAAATTGTTAATGCTCTTCTGAAAGTGCAAATGAGCAGTGTCAGCCTCTGCTGCTAGAAAAAACCGAGTAATTTATTCAGAAGCTGTCTGTTGCACTAAGCTCTACTCTCTAACATGGGCAAGTGAGAAAAAGTAGTAGAATTAGGTGACTAGAGGGGAATGGAGAAGTTAACAGGCAGGGAAGGACTCAGGTGCAAGCATATGTAGGGGACTGAGGAGGAGAAGAGAGACAAGGAGCTACCTTGTAAGTATTTTACAGTTATGCTGAGGCAAAGTAATTATACAGTCAGCTTAAATATGGTGAGTACCCTCTGGCTGCTTTTGCCTGCTGCAGAATAACGCAAACAAGCCAGAAATGTAGAAAGGTAAAAATTACTTAAAGCTGACAGTACCTCTGCAAATAGTTAAAGATATTAGGTGGTAAAACTCTCCTCGGATTTTTCTCCTCCAAATCTATGAAATTGTAAATGTAACAAAAGTACAAGCCAAGCTACATTAAGGCTGAGTTACTCTGACTAAATATATAAGAAATTTACTGTGTGTTTGTGTATGTGTATTATAGAAAAGTAAATTGTCTCCACACAAGCATCATAGATCAGGATGTCTGGAGGTGGAATCCATTTTCAGAGGTAGAACACATTTAGGTCAGCTAAATGAATAATTAATGAAGAAATCTAGCTTGCCATTGAAAAATCAGTAAGATCAAACCTTGGATTAGAAACACTGCTCTGCATTATCAAATCACATCATTTCAGCTACTTTTCATTGTTACTGGTAAATGGCTCTTCATGCGAGTCCAGTGGTACCGTACCCATTACTTTCTCCAGAGTGCTGTAGCTGAGCGATTCCATTACGTTGGTTTGTTCTGGGACGCACTGCTGAGGGCTACCCAAACAGCCAGTTTGCGCTGTGCAAAGTGCTATCATAGAATCATAGAATCATTTAGGTTGGAAAAGACCTTTAAGATCATCCAGTCCAACCATTAACCTAACATTACCGAGTCCACACTAAACCAATTAAGGGCAGACTAGACTAAACCATGTCCCGAAGTGCCACGTCTACCCATTTTTTGAACACTTCCAGGGATGGGGACTCCACCACCTCTCTGGGCAGCCTGCTCCAATGCTTGACTACCCCTTCTGTGAAGAAATTTTTCCTAATATCCAACCTAAACCTCCCCTGATGCAACTTGAGCCCATTTCGTCTCGTCCTATAGCTAACTACTTGGGAGAAGAGACCACCCCCCCCCTCACCACACCCTCCCTTCAGGTAGTTGTAGAGAGCGATAAGGTCTCCCCTCAGCCTCCTCTTCTCCAGACTAAACAACCCCAGTTCCCTCAGCCGCTCCTCATAAGGCCTGTGCTCCAGACCCTTCACCAGCTTCGTTGCCCTTCTCTGGACACGCTGCAGCACCTCAATGTCTTTCTTGTAGTGAGGGGCCAAAACTGGACACAGTATTCCAGGTGTGGCCTCACCAGCACCGAGTACAGGGGGACAATCACCTCCCTGCTCCTGCTGGCCACACTATTCCTGATACAATTAAATGTGCGAAGTTGTTCAACTTGGAGGTAAAAAGGGAATTTACATCTATACGTTGGCCTTGCATCCCAAACTCCATGTTACGGTAATTTTTGTTACAATAGTAATAATTTGCATCCCAAACTCCATGTTATGGTAATTTTGTTACAATGGTAATAGTTTGTTACATGTTTTTTAAGTTGATTGGTTAATAACAGGGTATGATACTTGTCATCTAGGCTTTCTGTGCAGTCTGTGGAGAAAGAAGCAGTTCAAATCCAATTGCCAAAAGTGGGTGGAATGGTTTGTCAGGTGCACTCACTCCTCTCCATCTTCACTTCCCCTATTAACTGTACAGGGAGACTGAACAACTAACTTTAACTGTAGCTGTTAGGTGAGGTGTGTGCCACTGTTAGTGGCCTTCCAGCCCCAAACACTCACATGCTTGTGGCACGGGAGCAGGAAGAGCTTTCCCCCCTGCTGCAGCTTCACTCAACACTTAGCCTGTCCCTTCGTTTTTTCTCAAGTACCCAAATCCCAGGATATGCTTCACTCCTGCAGAGCTCTGATGGCTTCTCCAGCGATGTGCTGTTGTGTAGGGACAGCTATATGAAGCAGGTGTGGGGACAGCATAAGGTAAAATGTGAAAACATAACAAAAGAGAAACTTTTGCTAAATTAGTGTTTAAAGCAGGAATACAGTTGCTCTTACTAGTTTTCCTGTTCACTTGGTGAGAATAGCTGGGTTTGGCTGCAGTAGGTTTGCTCTGATATCTGCTCAATTTTTAAACACATTATGGACACATGTTTAGAAATTGTTTCAAAACATTTATTGAGTGACTTAGTTCTGTTATACTGAAGGAGTGCTGAGTTTTTATAGATCCCTGTGGTAGTGGACACTTTGGTCAATCACTTGCTATGTTTTTTGGATACAATTTAAACAATTATGTAAATATACCTTTCTCATCTCTTTCATATTCTTATTTAGCTATGATTAATTTATTAGTCCTTTATAGAAAAAAATTTCAAGGATAGGTAAGTAAATTGAATGTTTTTGACAATGTCAACCTCTAGCCTTCATATTAAATGTGACTAGCATGTTAATACGGGACTATCTTTATTGTAATACCCCTCAGGTGTCAGATTTATTGGAGTATTTAGCTTATCTGTTCTACTGCTCATGGATCCTTGACTTTTGATCTTCAGGAAATATTCCTAACCAGTACATAATACCTTTGCACTTAACTAGTATCTGACTGGATATTTATTGTGACACAGTTGTGCATAGGGTAAGATTAAAAATTGTTTTCAAAATTGCCTGACTTGACACTTCTGGAAACAAAACAGCTTTTAATTGCTAACTGGTGATCACAAAAGAAATCCTGGAGATTAAATGTAATGATCCATCAGTGAATCAGAGAGACATCAGCAAAAACATGTTTCAGGCAAAAGGCAAGCCAAGAAGAAGCAGCAAAGTTTACATAGTAGAGTACGAATGGGCTCATTTGCTCAGGAAGACAGAGTACAAATGCGTGCTTAGTCTGTGCAAAAAGATTTCATTTTTTCAGAACTCAACCTCTTGATGTAATTTTTTTTTTTGATAGATGTGTTTTCATTTTTTAAAGAGTGACTGTAGGTCTCCTTCCATCTGGTAAAGTGTGCGTTTCTCTCAAACAGAGTCTATATTGAAGGTAAAATACTTCTTAGCCTGTGTCACCACTCCTATTCAAAATAGACAGTATAACAATCTAAATTTTTGTCAACATTTTGTTGTAGGCCTTAAGGTCAGCTGACCACAGACATATTTTTAAATAAAACAAAACAAAACAAAAAGTGAAGTCTCTAGGAAAACTATGATTTCATTTGAAAATCTACTTATCTTTGAGATGGGGTACATTTTTACAGGCTTGTTTTCGAATATATTAATGTGTAGGCAAGGAGTTTAATAAGGCAGAAGATGTTTTTCAGCTACATTCCTGTAGCAGTTGGGTTATAAAAAACTCTAAAAGCTTGACATAAATGAATTATCTCTGTCAATTCTAGTGTAAAGACCATGTAGGGTCCATTCCAGTTTTTAGAGATTTTGAGTTTTAAGTGGTTGATGATGAATGATTTTGGATGATTTAAATGGATGATGATGAATGGTTTTAAATGGTTTAACGACCCCTTCTGAGGGGTCCTTCAATAAATGTAATTCTACTTTTGTTGGTATTTGCATTTTGGTTGTATTAAACTATATTTAATTGTTGTTTTTATTTTTCAGAAGTATCGCAGTGTGTCAGTGGGGGCTGAAGAATATATTTACGAACAAACAAGGTATGGCATAAGCTTTGAATTGTGTTGACTGGCATCACCTAGGAATGTATTGAGGAGAGGCTGCCTGTGTCTGCTTCCCACCCTCCCTTTCATCACCGTGGGGCACCTGCAGGGCTCTCTTGATGCTGCCCAGCAGCACTCTCCCCTTCTTCTCCTGCACCTGTTAGCTTTCAAATCTGACCAGTTTATATCTTCATCTATTATCTTCCCCCAGCATTGTTTTAAGTTAGTAGCTCCTCTGAAGCCCCGGAGATTAAAAAGTGTTAAGATTAAAAGTGTTAAGAGAGGTTCCCCAGGTAACAGGGCACAGCTTTGACAGCCAGGTCATGAAAAGTCTTCCCCACCTTTCAGGATGGCAGGATGCACAAGTCAGATGTCCAGGATAGTTGAACTGGCTCCACCAACCTTATGGAATTCCCATGTTTATTTTTCCCTTCTGTTTTTTTCTAGTTACTCCTAGTAGGTTTTCTGGGAAACCCTCTGTCTTTTTACACTGCTTGTTGTGGGACTTCATGTGTACCTATAAAATAATGTGAATGAATTATCTAACCTAAGAATTCCAAGAAGTTTTTAACAAAGTTTCAAAACCTGACATTTGAAAGGAATAGTGTCCTCCCTGCTAAGCACAGAAAAATGCATGCATAGCATGGGAAAACACTGCAGAGTCACTTAACTAATAAAGACTGTGATCAGTAAAATTTGTAAGCTGATGCTTCATTTCATGCTTGTGAATAGTTCTGTTTCTATCTGAGAGATTACTCTCACTTTAGAAACAGGAACATGCCTACATATTTTTCTTGGAGTAGGCATATGACTGCTTCTGTAGTGGAGGTTCCTTACAGCTTGATCTTTTTTCTGAGGTATATTAAAACAATCATTAACTGCAGTGAGCTCAGAATGGAGTCATTATATAGGCAGTACATATGAAACAGATATTTAGCAAAGACTGCTCACTTACTACACTGGATATTTATAAAATTGAGTCCTGAAGCGTTGGCATTGTTAACAATTCTCAGACATTAAGTCTATCATTCTGCGGCCCAGGTCCACATTAGAACAAAACCTCCAAATGCACATGAAGAAAATACGTCTTTCCTGGGAGTTACCTGGAAGTGATAGGTGCTCAGAAATCAAAGCTTCAGATTGAAAAAAAAAAAGAAGTGGGGAATATGAAACTAATTGGAAGCCTGATAGAAGATCCCTTAACGACTACGTGGGCTTTAGTTAAGACTCACGGTGAGATTCAGAATAGTATTATAATCATTTCAGTGACTGCAATAAGTTTTAAGGATAATAGGAATCCTCCTGCTATGGGGCACACTTTGATTGCTGGCTGGGAACAAGAAGAAAATTCCCAAGTGATACCACACAGAGACTGCAAAATTGGCCAGGTGCAGTGTGTCTGGGATTTGCATTTTTTGACATCTTTCTGAAACATGCAGAATGCCAGGAAACAGAAGACCAGACCGTGGCAGACTGTAGGCAGCTCTGTTAAGACACTGTGTGTCTGACTTTGGTTCATCCTAAGCCCTTCTCAGCAGACATCCTCGTTAGGCCTTCTGTCTGGTGAGAGGTTTTCAGGTGCATCTCCCAGGACATTCAGCATGCTGTGGTGCACATCGTGCAGCAGCCTCGCAGCACGCAACCTGCAGTCCCTTTGTGTGACACTAAATCAGAGGATGTGCCCCCATGGCTAATGGGCGGTTAATCCACAGGACAAGCATATGCAGTGGAATGGATAATGGGTCCGCAGCAGCAGTGGTTCTGTTCTTCCAGTCCACTCGGATGGGGCCGTTCCGCTTGCCAGCGTTGACAGAGCCTCTATTCCTCTTGCACATGGGACAGAGGGACTGCGGCAGCGCACACCGCAGTGGGCAGCAGCAGAGGGGACTGCAGTCCCCTTCATGCTGCCTTTCCACTGTGCACGAGAGCCTTCCTGTCCGCAGCAACTGCACTGCTGGGAAGCACTGGTACTGCCATCAGTGGGTTGGATAGGTATAGCTTAGTGTTTGCTTTTTACCTTAGTTTTGCTTTGATTTGTAACTTTCAAGCAACTAGAAAAATGACTGGATTTCCATTTATAAGCTAAGAAACACTTAGAAGTTGTCTTTATTTGATTGAATGATTGATACTAAACTAAATAATTGATATTAAACTGTTGAAACTTCTTCCTTTGGATGGAAAGACAGTGGGATCAGGTTATTTTTTTTCTTCTACCTTCTCTTCAAGTGGGGATTTAAATATTATTACTCATGTGTTTTAGTGATTTTTTTTTTTCCATTGGATAGTTAAAAATGTTTTTGTCTTCCCTTTATTTCCATATTGCTATGGTAGTTTTATGATGATCCAGAGTATTTGCTTGACCTAGAAAGTTAAGGATACACTGTTGTTTTGGACCAACATACTCGTCATTTTGGTTCTACTCCAGCACTGCTTAAATACCTTGCTGAATTAGGACCTTTGCGAAAATGCTTCCCCTGTATCTCCAATTTGTGAGAACATCCTGCAAGTGACTCCTTGCATTAAGCTTCCTGTGGTGACCAAATGCAGTTTGAGGAAAAGATTTATTCTGCAAGGTTAAAATTATTTTTCATTTAAGAGAATGTGAGGAGCTGCAGGCATTGTTTTTATTGGATTATCGTTCAAGCCTGTTATTGGAGGAGGCGGCTGGAAGAGGCTTTGTGAGAATTGTGTTCAGCTAACAGTTCAACAGTTAATGGAGCTTTAACTTTTCATGGTTTTGAGAACTGCTTTAAAGGTGAGAAGTTCTCCTGTGAAGGAGGATCTTTTCTAAAATCTGACTTCCAACACAAGAGCAAACTCTCTTTTTCTCTAATTTTTGTCTTTTTCTAAGGGAGGTTACTTGATTGCAGATACAACTAAATGTAGGTACTTCGTTCTGTCTAATTAATTTTGAAAAGAAGGCTCCTAACAACCTTGATTGCATGTTGTCTTTAAAGAAATGAACCTACTGTCCCTTCAGATTGTATTCCTTCTCTGCCCTGTGCTGAAAGTAGCAGTTGGACCTTCCATTCTCTGCATCCATCTTTTGCAACAAGTTTTATTCTGGGTTTTTTTGGTTTTTTTTTTTTTTTTTTTTTTTAATTTATCTTTCTGTGACACTTCTAAGTTTCAATGTCTGTGGAGGTAGCTGATTTCCTGCAAATCAGACTGAATTCCCTCCTGGTATTTGACACTCTCACTGTGGGGTATGTAGCCTTGTACTTCATGATGGTTCTTTTCAGACAAAGTAAAGAATGTAGTCTTTGCTCCAAGAGACTTACCTACAGTCCAGATGGTTTTATGCTTGATTGCCAGATTTGATGAACTTGAAAAAAGAAAACTGCATTTTAAAATACCTGTGTGATCTTTTCTTGCAATTTTATTATTAGCTTCTTATGCCTTGCTTATATGATGCATGAAATATGTAAACAATGGGGACAAACAGAAAAGGAGAAAGTGATACAGATTTTGTTGTTGTTTCTCTCCCTGTCTTTTCAGCAGCACTTTTCAGTATACGCTAGAAGCTACCAAATCTCTGCGTCAAAAGCAAGGGGAGGGGCCCATGACCTACTTGAACAAAGGACAGTTCTACGCCATCACCCTGAGTGAGACGGGTGACAACAAATGTTTCCGGCATCCCATCAGCAAAGTCAGGGTATAGTCCAGTTTCTTTCCTAGATGGGAATGGAGCTCTACAGATAAATGCAGTTGTGGTGGTTGGGTTTTAATTTTTTTTTTTTCTTGTGGGAGAGGACAGACGAAGCTTATCTTTACGCCCAATGTAAAGGTGGGAGAGTAATGTTGATGGTGGTCTCAAATATTTTGGGGTCCAGTTTTTTCAAAGTGTGATCTTATGAGTTGATTATATACATATCTGCCTCAGTTTATGGTTTGGCAGAATGGTAATTGCACAGGTATTGCACTTGACATTGGTGAACTTATTCCCATGATTAAAGAAAAAAATCAGAGAACTGCTGCACCTGCTGTGTAAGTTCATCAGTCACTTGTGCACTTCAGCAGCTGCTTTCCAATGCATTTCAGATAAAATGTGAAGAATTGAAGCCATCCTTTGTGACATAAATTTTAAATAATTTATGTCGTGTAAGTGTGAACTCTCACTTGATATTCACCCAGAAGTATGACAAAATGGATGATTTGCATCTTAGATTCCGCGGGTAGAACTGGAGCTTGGGTATTCAGCAACATCTGCCTGGTGAACAGGCCTCCTGATTTTCCTGGTAATGTTTTTGAGTAAGCAAATCCTAACCCAGTAACCTTGGAAAGAACAATGAGTTGCTGCCCTGCAAATTTCACCCTGAAGCTGGAAGGGCTGCATATGTATGAGGCTGCAAAAGTGTTTCCATCCAAATAAATGAAGTACTGTAAAAATGTTGTGACTTTACGAAGGAACCAATGAAAGTCAACGTGAGCAGTGAAGCAGACAACAACCTATATGTTTCTGTCATACGTGAAGTTTAGAGAAACTCTTCCTAAAGAGAGGCAATGATTTGTAAACCTGGATAGCAGTTAATTTTTAGCCTGGTTTCCTAAGGACATGAGGCTGATGATGGCATTTCGTTGTTGGCTGAAGCTGATGTAAGACTTCCCTGCTGCTGAAAAGTCTCTCTCCCTGCTAGCCACCTGTTCCTTCCCCCTTTGTGGTGCCAGCTCTAGCACTTGTACAGCTGAAACAGGAGTCAGGAGCTCACTGCTCTGGCTGAAAAACCAGTCCTCATAAGTCTTGTTCACTGCACAGTCACATGAGTTTTGAAGCTGTGGCAGCAGAAGGGTGGAAATTGTAAAGGAGAGACAAGACCATTTCTTCTGGAGGATGTACAGTTTACAGAAGAATGTGAAACCACACACAGCTTTCACGATCATGTTCTGTTTGCCAGGCCCCCACCCAAGCAACTATTGAATTTATTGCCAATTCCATCCCAACCTGACAGAGGTGAAAGAGGTTTTGAAGGTAAACCTCTACAAGTTACATCTAAGTGGTTCATAGCGGAAAAAGTTTACTGCTGCCCTTGGTGGAAAAGCTACAGTCTGCACTGCCAGTCCTGGTTAGTGCATCAGCTGGCCAGCCAACACATACCTGATGGCCATCCAGTATGCATATGCATAACTTGGGACTCATCCATGGCATATACTGCCTTGTGCCCACGCAGTAGCTAGACATGGAAGACGCAGTGATGATGTTCAGCTTTTATAGGTGGAATGGAGAAGGTCACAGAGCATGTGAAGGGTTACGGTGGTGACAGTGTGGAGGGACGTAGATCATGAATCAGTGGTGATCCAGCTCCTTGGCGTATAAAACAGCTTGATGGTATTTTTTATGAGCTTGGTGACTCAGGGTTAAAGGAAGAATGGGAACAAAAGAGGATTTTAAAAGTGAATTCTTTGTTCTCTGTGATTTCTTTCCACTTCAGTTTACCTAGTATGAGCATTCTTTCACTGCTTTGTGTTTTTTGTTTTGCTTGCCTACAGCAGGGTTTTTTTAAAAAGCCTTTATTACTCATATGAAGTTTTGCATAAAGTTTCAATCTGCTGCCTTTGAATCACACAGTTTAACAAAGGGAATTCAGAACTTGAACTGAAGAGCTCAGCAAAATGGTCACACTGATTTTGTCATTAAATACATGTATGCAAGAGTCCTGATACCAAGAAGGGTATTTGCACTATTTATGGTAAAACTAAAAATGTCCTGCCTTTAGCTAGCAAGCCTGAGCTCCATAACAACATATCCCTTTACAGTGTAATGTCATCCTCCAGAGTGGCAGGGAATCTGAACTCCAACACTTGGGCTGGAGTTGGATCAGAATTGGAACTGGGGATCCTCTGAATTTGAAATGACCACTTTTTACTTAAGGGAATTTAGACTTCTAAAATCTAAGAATACAATTAAATGTTATTTGGACTATCAAGAAGATCATCCTAGGCCCTGCATTATTTTAAAACTACACTTCTTCTGCCCTGAGTCTTTTAAGTGCATTGCAAAATTGGACTGGAATAAAACCCAGCAATCTTCTACAACCAGAGTACTGTGGGAGGGTGGTGACTGGATCAGCATTACAGGCATATGGGAGATAATAAATTTTGTGTTTCTGACTATTAATTATATTAACTAATGCAACTTGTGCTGTTGATTTTCTTAGAGCGTGGTCATGGTCGTTTTCAGTGAGGATAAAAACAGAGACGAACAGCTGAAATACTGGAAATACTGGCATTCTCGGCAACACACAGCTAAACAGAGGGTCCTCGACATTGGTGAGTGTAAGATCTCCAGATGTTTCAGGGAAGATTGCAGAATGTGGAAGGCGCTGGTACCTCGCACAGGGATGTGGTGGGATACATTGGCAATGGCTGCAAGGCTTGTTACCACAGTTTTTAGCAATGGCTCATCCCTGCTAGGACTGGGCTATGGGGTCTATGAAGCAGGATGGAGACTATGCAGAAGAAATGGTCCTCAGTAGTCACAAAGAAGAGCTGCCCCTTGCATGAGTATTTAATGGTGTTCCACCATCTGCTGCTGGGAAGTCAAGGTCTGCATCTCCTCAGGAGTGCCAGAGTGTTTGTTTCCTTTAGTTTTTCAAAGGCTGATCCACTCTTTGATCCAGTAACAGTAGCAGCCCACATAACAGTTGTGTTAGCTAGTCTGATGTGCAAGTGCAGCCTGAAAGTGAAGGTGGCATCATTATAGTGACTGCAAGGCAGCGCACAGGACTCCTACACCCCCAGTTTTTGAGTTTTGTTGGTGCCAGAGAGAAGTGAAGGAGAAGCGAGCTCTAGTGTGCTATCCTGAGAGACCTGTTTACAGTTCATCCCATCTAAGGTATTTACAAGCCCATTTCAGCCACAACTGCCCTATCCACATGCTTGGGAGATTTTAGCAGAGGAAGAACACGTACCTGCTGCCAAGGAGCCTGAAGTTGAAATCTGTGGGAGTGTCTAGACATCAAGCGCTTCTCCCCTCCCACGTGCAGTTTACACACGCAGCCATCTGCAGCAGATTCCAGTTAAAGGAGTCGGCAAGACCAAAGCAGTCAAAGTCTATCTTGTTTTGACCGCCTGAGGGAACCAAACCATTGAATGGCAGGAATGAGAGGGGGCAGAGGCGGGGGCTTTTTTCGGGGGGAAGCCATGTTGCAAGACCTCAGGGGCGATTGAACAGGGTGATCAGGGAATCAGTCCCTAAGTGGTCCTACTCATGCAGTGCCTTTCGACTTTCAAATGCTGCAGCCTCTACTGAGGCTGGCATTATTTAAAGTCAAGTGTATTTGGTCAAAGCAGCTCTTCTTGAATCTCCTCTCTGCCTCTTGTCTTATCATCATAGTTCTGGCTGAACTGTTTCCCCAACTTTTTTTTTTTTTTTTTTCTTTTGTCCTTTGGGGTAGTTAAGGCATTAAACCCTCCACCGCAGACCAAATGACTCCTATCATGACACGTTAAAAGAGCAAGTATGCCACGTCACAGCTATTTCTGAAGGCTGCCTGTTTTTTTGTGCTAGTCCCTACAAGCTTGCAGTGCTAATGCTCATACCTTTGAAGGTATGCGCTGAGGAGCTCGTTCCATTGCAGTGCCAACACCCTGCGACTCCACCACACTCGTGGTGTACCAGCACATTTCAGTCCCCTTATCCAAACGAGTCAGCTTATGATGCATACTCTGTAAAATAGTGCTCTGCAAAACAAGTCCTGTGCATGAGCTGTGTGTTTATCTGTGTTAAAGTGAATGTCTTTTATATTTCCATTGGTTTGAGACGAAATAGGTCTGTGCTGACTTTTGAGTCACTCCGATGCGTATTCTTTATTTGGATTGCAAACGTGAGCAAAGCCTGGTGTAGTAGGACTTACTGTTATAGCACTCCCTGTCAGACGTAAGAACTGTAAGAGCACAGCATTTTCAGAAGAAAGATCTAGATGTTGCTCAATAGTGTTTTCTTGAGAACAACTGAAATACGGCCTTAACTCTTACCAAGTACAGTGTTTCTGAAGTACATTTCATATTCTTTGGGACTTACGTTGTGGATATTGGGCTTATTAGGGCCGAGTGGCTCCCAGCTATATTTCCCATACAAGCATCAAGCTGCATTTAGCAAAATCTTCCAGTTTTATCATCAGATGATCTAACTGAGGAACTTCATCCAGATTTGAAGTTGGTCCTGCTTTGAGCGGGAGTAGGGTAGGAGTTGAACCAGATCACCTCCAGGGGTCTGTTCCAAGCTAAATTATTGTGTGGCTCTATGAAGGTTTCCCTTTACATTAAAAATTCAGATCCTTGAAGGGCTCCTGTAAAGGAATACTGTTAGTGTCTAGGCCCAGTGTAGTTAATGGAGAGAATTAGGTGTCTATGAGGGAGATGAGCAAATGCCAGGATACGCCATGGAGAACCATTTAAACAGGCAGTGAGAGAAGCTTGCTAAGGACAGGGGTGTGTATCAGATTTGTCCTATCTTCAGGGGATGGTCTGGCAATCTGCTGGTAGCCCCACTTCTCTTTTATTTTGTATTTCACTCCAACTATTAACAGCATATAAAGGGTTAATCATGTATTAGGTCCTTTAAAACTGTGAGTAGCCATAAATCTGTGTAACCTGTTCCATAGATGTTTATAATTGTTAATATTATTTTAACTTAATGTTTGTAGCATATGTTTAACATCTGTGAATCCTTTTTAATTGCTTATGAATGCACTTTTAATCTAGAACATGACTTGGTCCTTAGCAGGCAACGAATCAAATGAATTTGGGATGTTCTAGCTCTGGGGTCCAGCTATTCAGCCTTCAGATAGGGGTGACGACTCTGCTTGTGCTGCTTTCCCTGGTGGCACAGGTCCGTCTGCCTGCCTTCTGGCCTGCAGTCATATTCGGGAGATCAGAGGAAACAGAGTGACTTGTTCCCTCACTCCAGACGTGCAGGGGTCACTGCTTTAATTTGTTTTGTGTACTGGCTGGTGCACCTCCTGGGAGGAGGGATGGTTGAATGGATTAGATGCAGTGCTGGGTCTGAAGATGCATTGATATTAATAGGATAAGCATGTCCTTACATGTAAGCAAGTCCTTAGTGCTTGAGGAATAAACCTGAGGACTTGACCTTAATAAGCAAGAAGGAAAGGTGTTTTCCAGAATTTAGGCTATGTGCTGTTATGGATTTTTCTGAAGAAGGAGGGAGGCACTTTCACTGGGTTTTTGGGGGGGGGGCGGCTCCCCTCCCCTCCCCTTTTTTTTTCAGTCAGCAGAGCTGACTTTTCCACAGTGCTGTGCTGTGACATTTGATCACTAGCTTTTCCTTTTAAATTAATGTCAAATAAAGAATACAATACTAGATTGCAGCAAATATTGATTATTTAGAATCAGTACCATAATTTGACAAACACTGGAACAGGTTCAAACATGGACATGAAGAGTGGGTGTGGAAGCTTTAGATTGGGGTTATTTGTGCTCCAGAGCCTTGCCCATATTTTTCTGCCGGATATTTTGTATTATTTATGTGCACAATAGAAAAACTACTACAATGGTATGTAATGCATGCAAATGATTAGTGTTTAATGTTGAAATTTGCCATTGTTTAATGTGCAGTTTAACCAACAAAAGAGGATATAATTCCTGTAGAGCCGTTTTCTTGCATATCAAAGAACCCTGATTTTCTATTTCTGGTAACTCACAGCAGCAGAAGAGGAAAAATTGTAGTTGTACTAACAACTTTCAAATATCCTTGGATGTAAATGATTTCTTAATCTACTGAGGATCCTTCTTTAATTATCTGTACATTGAGGGGAATAGGATGCACTTCTGCTGTTAAACAGTGTGTCACATAGACACCCCATGAGATTTGTGTGTGGCAATTAAGGAAGCGGAGGCATGTGTTGGGGGAAGGGTAAGGTTGGTGGGATACGAGGTTCTGACAGCCCTTTAGCAGAAGAAAACATGTGTCTTTACAAGACATCTTGTTCATGTCTTTCCAAAGCGCACCTACACAGCACGCCCATATGCAACAGTCAGTTGCATGAGGCACTTTCTGGTGAATCATAAATTTAAGGGGTGGGTGGGTGTGTGCACATGCATATTAAACTACTTATGTGTCCTCTAATTCCTCTCATTTGCATTTCTACACTGAATTTAGATAGTGAAGCCAATGACTTCAGTTAGAAAGGAGATCTGAGTTCATGATAGGAATGAAAAGCCTGCCTGCCCTCTCAAACACCATGTTCACTTGCTGCATCACCAAATATCTTGTGCTGTTCCTATGGTCAGAACAGTGAATTTTTACTGTATCCAAAATCATTCATGTATCCCAGGCACACAGTTTCACTTGCCCAGTGAAATGCCAGCATCCCTGCGTTTCAGATGAGAAAAAAGTATACTGATAGCATGTCTGAAATGTTAAATAACTCTCCTTGCAGAAATGGTTTTGTTATAAATGATTTTATAACAGTTATTACCTAGAAATTATTTTTTAGAGACCAACAGTTTATTTTCAGAAGGGCAAAGGACATGAATATTGAAACCATTTGGGGGTCTCATTTATAGAATACAAAAACATCCTCTTTCTATAACTGGTTACAAAGCTAAGAAACTGCATGCTTCTGAAGTGCAAATTTGGGCAAATGTTAGATCAAGATTGCTGCATGACGTAATGTCAGCCCTCTGGCACCAAGTCCAATTACAGCCATTACAGCCCTGGAGGGATTCTAAGGAAATGTACATGTCCCAGAGAGAGCTGATGTATTTGCGTGAAGAATCTGGAAGTTCTGTTAATCAAGCAGATACTACCTGTTTACAAACCTGGTCTTTCTCTTAATCTGTCATCAAAAAGAAGAAAGTGTGTTAAACTGGCTGGCAAAGGGAGAGAAAAAGGGGGCTTGTTCCTCTTTTCAATTATAAAGAACACCTGGAAGTTGTCTGTCTTACGTGGTTTTCCACCCTCACTGTTTTGGGTTTTTTTTGGGGCGTAGGGTGTTGGAGCATCTTTGAAATCTGGACTTCCTTCCTCTTGCTTTGCATTCCTTCTGAAATACTAGCTTATCGATAATATTAACAGCCCTTTGGAAAGAAGTGAGAAGAAGGTGCAGATTTTGTAGTCAGACAATTTAAAAATACTTTATGTTTGTTTGCTATTTTAGCATCATATATACTTTGGAGAAAGGATCTTCATGGTTTTGGTTCTTTGTTTTGTGGGTTTTTTTGATTTTGTTTTGTTTTGTTTTTTTAAATACAGACCCAGCATCCAGTGCAGTAATTCCTGGGAAAGTTGAAATGGCTGGGCAAGAAATGTACACTACTGATTATTTCCTCCAGTGATAGCTCTTAGCCTTTTAGAAAGCTTCTTTAGGATTTCCATAATGTCATTTATTTATGTCAAGGTTTGAACAGTCCCTTTGAATGCTTCAGTAGCTTTTAGTTAATTTTCCAGTTTTGGCCATTCCTTGGCCAAGCTAATGAATGCACCCACTCATTCCCACTACAGTCACACTGATTCCTTTTTGAGAGCAAGCAGTATTTTGCAAGAATATTAGCTAGTGATGTACTATGTATAAGACTCAAGCTGTAGTATATTACCTCTTTGCAATTAAGCTTATTAATAATGCAACAAAAACAACACAAGAGGTAGTTTTGATGCATTAGACAACCCAGCTGAAAAAGCAAAGATGTACTGCAAATTGTAAAAGAGAAAGTTCAAACCTTTTTCATGAATCTTTTGTTTGTTTGTTATTTCTTACAGCTGATTACAAGGAGAGTTTTAATACCATTGGGAATATTGAAGAAATCGCATTCAATGCTGTGTCCTTTACTTGGGATGTCAATGAGGAGGCAAAGGTGAGGAAAAGCCATGCAGATGGTATCCCTTTATAAGTACCATCCATCCTTAGTCACTGTTGCACTTCTCTCCTTTTTAGCAAATAATAAGCAGCATAGGGGTAGGTGGAGGTGAGCAAGTCTCTGCAAAGCCAGGTAGACCATGGTCTTCCACTGACCCTAGGGATTCTGGCTATCTGTAAAAGGCAAGACGGTATGTAACAGCTGTCAGGATGATATTGCCTTCACACCTGTATCACTGACAAATAGAGATGTAGTTCTGAGGGAAACCTGCAGGGCTCTCACAGTGTAGTTTCTTATCTGTGGCCTCTCAGTTATTTTCCATTTAAAATATGCCCAGCCTGAGAAACAGTAAAAGTATTTTTCCTACTTGCAAAGTCATTGTAGGACACAAGGTGAATGTTTTCTTTCTCTAAATTATCAACTTCCTTTCTACACTCTTAACATCTCCAATAATCAATATTCTGAAAGCTAGACTATGTCTTCCCATGTGTTTGTGCTGTTATTTTTTATAGTGTTGCACAGACTGTCCTTGCAATTGGGAATGAACGTATTTTTGAGGACTGCTGCATTCTTTCTTTCTTTCTTTCTTTTTTTTTTAAATGGTCAAGTACCCTCAGACATGGGGTTTTGCATTTGGGGATGTGACTGCTACAGTAGATCTATAAGCCAGGACAGCAGAACACCTTAACAAGTTTCTTATAGATAAGGTTATCCAAAGGGTGGCAGAGTGTTTCAGCTGCACGGACTAGTGTAGGAGAAATGAAAAGCTGCCGGTAATTATAAGAAGTTGGCTCCCAGAAAGCAAACAACAAGGGAAATAGGCTGTGTACAATGAGTGGGGGTAATGTGGGACTCTCGGGGATGTAGAAATAATAAACAGCAAACATTGTTGAGCTTAGCAAACTCCTGATACTGTTTTCATGTTGAATACAAACTGCCCAATGTTCACGTAATGCTAAGGATCTTTCACATACAGAGACATTTTCATGCACAATTCCCCACTGCATTTCTAACAGAGCGTTAGAGAGATTGCATCGAGTGAGTGAATCCTGTGAGACATTAACACTCACTGTCCTGACTTGCTGACTGAAGGTGCTGAGGTTTGTAATAACAGGGATTTTCATCTCTGATGCACATTTTAAAAGAATAGAGCAACTAAAGAAAAGACAATAGTTCTGAAAACCACCTAGGTCTTTTAAAACCTGGCCTTGGTAAACAGAGTTGTACTTGGCCCAGTTGCTAATGGTGCTATGTTTACTCATGTAATGATTACATTCTCACCGCCCCAACATATTCCCCTATTATGGAATTTCATTTCAAAATACAGCGGTATGTTGTCCTCTGCAGTCACAACAGATGACCGTTGTGTGCGTGCGATCATTATGCAAGCAAATACAGCAAATACAGATTTGGAATCTCCACCATGATGGACTTTCCCAAGGACCTTTACAGAAGCACTACCAGGGCTAGTGCATGGCAGTCTTATCTCTTCCTCCCCCTGGCAACTACCGTCCCTATTGCCAGGGCTACCAGTTCTTTAGCACACTTGCTTTTGCAGCTGCAAGCCAGAATTAGCAAGACACCATGTTGATCTAGGAGCAAGAAAGTCATATCCACTAGTGTCGGGTGTTATCCCCAGCCGTTTTGTTCTAATCTCACACCAGTCACATTGCTCCTGCCTTGGGTGCCAGAACATTAAGAACACAACTCTCGTAATGATCACTGGGAATATAACATAGTAAGATTTTAAAATAATGACTCTTTTATTGTTGCTGGATTAAAAAAGTGTCAGGAGTGAAATTTAAGAAAGCCACTTGTATTTCTGCAGGAAGTAGTCATTAAAATACAAATTGACTCGTGCATATTTATTTTTGGGAGTAGTTATCAAATATGTGATCTTTTAGGAGCTTGAACTGCAAATGTATTGATAAAAGTAAGAGGATTCATAACATGATTTGGTATTGGGCTATCAAGCATAAATCAGGTTGTACCTGAAAGCTTATCATCGTGCACTAAAGTGTTTCCCTCTCCTGCACACATGTACACGTATCCACATGCTTGATCTTGTTGGAGAATCTAATGCAATAACCAGTTGCGCTGGGTCTGGGGATTCCCATAGGATGCCCCTGCAGTGTTTGAAAGCTGTGGACTCCGAGGCACGTCACCGAAGGCTGCTTTTTCTCCAGCAATTACCTCATCCAAAAGAGATGAAGAATTTCAAGGCCTAATTACAGACTCTCCTTAAGCTTTTTGAATGATGATCTTTAAACTGGCTCCATTGTTTCTGCTCAGTGTTGTTTTCCCTTTTCACCACAATTTCAAGATTAAAACTAACCTCACAGGCACAAAGACCTTTCTCTTCTGAGTCAGACAAAAGCGGCACAGAGCAGTTCTTTCCAGGGCCTCTGAGATGTGATGTGATGAAGCGCTCTACTGGCCCGGGAAGAAATAAAGAAAACAGACCGGTTGTTGGAAGTGCACAGGGGAGCAATCTTGAAAAATCAAACAGAAGCAGCAGAAATCACCTAACCAAATGTCCCTGTCTCTCCTTGGAGACTGAACCTGCATCTAGGAAGACGTATCTGGAGCATCAGATTTCTCACTTTCCTACTCCACCTGGAGGGCAGCTGATTTAAAGCCAGATTTCTCGTCCCACATGCAAGCAGAGCAGTACCCTCCTCCTGGAAAGCCCTTCAGGATGAGGGTATAACAGTGCGGGTGTGACAGTCAGAATCTGCCTGTTAACAGTGAGTCTGCTAAGGGTTTGTAAGGCAGCTTCTCAGTTGGATCTTATGTGGAAGAAATAGGCATTCAGAGAGTACAGGCCGAGGCCTTTCTTTGTCACCTCAGTAGTGTGAAGGGAACTGCGGTGTTGGCTCCAGCTCCTTGTGCTCGGTCCCTCGTCTTCTGACTGCTGCTTGACAGAACAAGTCAATGAAAGAGGGAACCTTGTACTGCACGTGTTGAGCTGTTGAATAATCTCACCACTGCTTTCCGTGGACTAAGGGAAAAGCACCAATGTCAGAAACCACTCCACTAGCGTTTCTTCTGCTGTATCTAGTTGACAACAGCAGTCCCCTTGCCTTCTGGCAGAGCAGAGTTGGGCCTGGCACATCCTTTCCTTTTTCTAGAACAACATTCTTTTCTGCTGGGGCCGTTGTCTAGAGGTCACCATGGGGCTTGTGGTTCAGAGCAGGATATAGGGAAATGAGGGGAAGGGTCTACAGCCACATCAAACTCTTCCTGTGCTTCCTTGAGACAAAAATACTGTGCAGTAAAGAAGCAGAGGTAGGAAGTGAAGAACGGTTTTTGTACAATCCATCTTTGTTTCGCTCCTGTATTTACTTCTATATACATAAATATGAAACATTTATGGGCAAGGTGATTTGTTGGCTCCCTTTGGTTGAACCTGAATGCTATGTTTGGTATTTTTAAAGGAGTACTTTCGAAAAAGGTGAGGAAACAAACAACAATTAACAAGAACTGGCTGACTTTTTAACCATCTTTTATAAGTCTTTTTATAATATGCTAGAAGGTAGGTAGTTGCCTTGCTGTTGCCCTACAGAAGATTTTGCTGCAGCATCTGGCTGATTGACAAAGTTCTAGTGGAGGCTTTTGAACAGAGAGCTCAGCTTCCTTTCTGATAGGCATACATCTGCCTGCTTGCAGTCTTATTGCTTAGTTTGCAAGAAATATAAGAACCAGAATTCGCCTGGTCAAAGGAGAGTATCTGTCATAAACTCTTTGAGATACGCCTTCTCTCTCATTAATACTTTGCTAATTTAAAATGGTTAGGATGGTGTTACTTCTGAAACAACACATTAGTTGTGTATTTTTATGGAAAATACTTTTTAATTAAATTCAAAGGTGTGGCTTCAGTGAACAGTTACTAAAGAAAAAAGTCATCTTAAAGCAGTCAAAAAATACTTTTCAGTGATATCAAGAAATTACTGATTTCTGCAAAGCACTGCAACTTGGCCATGCGGTAAACAGACATGTTGGCAGATGATTCTATATGTTATTCAGGCAGGTGCTGGCACAGGTTTTTTGGTGTATACAGTAGTTGTGTGCTGTGCAGTTGTTGTGTATACTTGCGTGCAATCATTGTCCTGCTATATTTAACTGAAATGTAGATCTTTAATCCAAAGCATGCTGAAGCCTCTGGGAACCTTTCCAGTTATTTAATGAGTTTTGGCATAGACCATACAGTAATAAGCTGTGTTTTCAATGAGTGAGTGATTTGCAGGATTAGGTTCTTAGACATAGTGGGCCAAAGTGAGCTATGATTCCAGTGGGCACAACTGTAAAATCAAGCTGACAGAGCAGCACAGTCTGTCGGTGATTTTTATTGTGACAATCCATATTTCTTTAACATTGCTAGCAATACTTACTCACTAGTATAAAAATTATTTTGTTCTTAATTATTAATTACCTTCCTAACTTAGATCAAAATTTGTTTCACTAGGGAGGAAATTAATATTTTCTCTACTCTCAAAATTTAAAGGTTGGAGGAAGATACTTTAGTTGGGGGAATTAGTACCAGAAATTATGTAGGATTAGACTTGGCAACTGGTTTAATAAACCATGTCTGTGTGTGTATGCTTGCATATATATATTTTTAATATATATACATCATGCATGCACACACACATGTGTATATTAAAGAAGAGTTAAACTGTGGTAGCAAATAATGTCGAAATTTCAGTGTATACAAATGGTTCAGTAAGTACGCGTCTGGGATTCAAGGCAAATGGCATTTTTATGTAGTTGCTGGGGTGTGGTGTGGGTTGAGGAAGCTTCAAAAGAGTAGTGTAAACATTTGCTGGAGACATTTGTATTGAAATAAAACAAAGGTCTTACCTTTGTATGGGATTTATAAGGTAACGGCTGGCAGGAGAAACTATAAAACCACACTTTCTGTGTATATGAGGAATGATGGGATTGATGTTAGTCATTTAAGAGACAAGGTATTTAACTCTTTGTTGTTACAGTCCAGAGGGATGAACCCCTTTAAAACAGGATTCTGTAAAGACCCATCACCCCAGCATAGATTCTATGTATTGCCCCTATGTATTCAGTAGAGAAATTGCTTTACGTTTCTGATTTTGTGTTATAACACACTCTTCCCTCCCTTCTGCTCTTGGCTCTTTCTGAGGTGATTAGAGCCAGAAATGTAAATAGTAATAAAAGGCTTATATTAGAGGTTTCATAACTGCAGACCTTTAAAGTGTATAAGCTGAGAGACCGCAGCAGGAGTCATGTTGGCTGGTTTAAATGATAAAAGGGGAAATGCGTTTCTGAGCCTTGCTTTCTCTTAAGGCAGGTTACTGTGTTTGTGTCTTGTACATCACTAATTATGCTGCAGTGTTTAACAAACAGCCAGTAATTCACATAATAACAGCTACACTGTGGAGGAGCACCTTCCCTGAAAGAGAGAGTGCTTTTTCTAGACATACTCTATAACAAACAGAAGAGTTGTCATTATCTTAGGCCACTTTTGAAACTTTCTCAGGCACCAAATGTTTCTCCAAATTAGTTTTTCATTGCCAGTGGCATGCCTGAGCTGGAGACTAGATGGGTGGAACTCTATCATTAATTGCTCTAATCTAAGATATGCTGACATTAAAAAAAAAAAAAAAGACATCACTATAACGACAACCCAAACTTGTTCATGATAGCAAAACATTGCTAAAATCCAGTTTGCACAGGAAAAAAAAGGTTTGTAAATGAATTCAGGTACAGCCGTAGTCACATCCATTAAAATAGTTCTAAGTCAAGTGTAGACAGGGCCCCAGGGGAAAAAAAACCCAGTGATTTCTACTGCTGCTACTGTCATTTCTGCTTAACTCTACACTTTCTAACCATGTAAGTGCTATGCAAGAGACCAGAGCAAGGAGGATCTTAAACCTGGGTGTCTTCCAAGAGAGGTAGAATGGGACTTCATGTTCTGTGGCTGCCCTTGGGGTTGTTTTGCTCCTTGTCTCATTGAGAGTGGGAGTAGCTGCATTACAGACAGAAGCCACAGAGGAGGGAAAGATGAGAGCTGTAAAGGGCAAAGCAGGCTGTGCTTGGACAGGTGGGTAAAATCATTGCTGCTTGGAGCAGGTGGCATTCCTCAGCCACTGCCTCAGGGAGGCGAAGGTTTCTGGTCAGAGCAGGGGCAGACAGAAGGGGACTGTCCAGACGGTTCCCCAGGTCCTGTTCACCACAGCAGCCTGCTGCACCACGGTGTTAAAACTAGTGCAAATGTTCAGTCATGCAAAGAAAAAAAGCCTTAAAATCAACTCAAGTAACACAACTTACACCCTCTTCCCCTTCCCTCTGCATACCTCCCATGTTTCCAAATCCAAAGTCAGTGTTGTGCTTTACAGGAAAGCTAATAGAAGATTGTGTAGAGACAGAAAATTTTCCCAAAAATAAGTGATCTGTGTTAATTTGAATCTATCTGTCTATCTACGAGGTGCAAATGCTATGACAGAAAGTATAGTACACTTCATGCGCATGAACGTACAGTCATTGCTCCTCAGAGGCATCCTGATGTATTACAGTGTCAGGACAAGGGTATTGAATCTTACAGCATCAATCTATTATTCATGCTGAATAATCTGTTATTGCTGTATGGGGACTCTTGAAACATTCAAGTCTGTCTTCCCCAGCCGGTCCTACTGTGCTCTGTGTTTCTGGAGGCAGCTGAAGAGATGACACATAGTGTATGTATTTGATTAAGGTGGGACAAGGTCTTTTTTTACTTCTCAGCTGAGTGTGCAGCAAAGGTGGTAGATGCACAAACTGCTGGGTAGATGCAAAGCCTGCACGTCCCCTCTCACATTTTAATGTACAGTTTGGAAAATCCCTGTGCAGAAGTATGGGCTAAAATATAGCAAGGCCAGTCTCTGTTTTATGCCAGACCTCATTCTGCTGCTCTGTGTTCACACATACTTTAAAGCATTGCCCTGACACTGTAGGAGTCTGAAGGCAAATGAAAATTCAGGCCGTCATATTTCAAAGGCATATGCACCAGTATCCACACTTACATTTGGAGCTGGAGGAGACCAAGTTGTAATTTGAAACAGAAATAACGCTATCAGCTTCAAAATCAGAGTTTCACCTAGGGCCCTTCCCCGCCTCCCTCCTCTCTCTGCAGTTAAAGTTCAACTATTTCATTTGTAAATGCAGCTCTGTGATACAATCAGAAGCAGAAACGCAGAGGTGCCATTAGCTCAGTCAGGCAAACAAGCTGCTCTGGCTCCATCATAAAAAGCCTGACTATAATGTTAACTTCTGCCATTAGGGTAAAGTATCCCCCACCAGTCCTACCAGAGGACCCTTTCTCTATTCTCAGCTGCCTTTCTGTTAGGGATGTTAGTATTCTGGTCACTCAAACTATTTTTTTTTCCCCTGCTTATGGATCAGGGAGGGGTTCCTTCATGCTCTCCCTTCCCGAATCCTTCCAGACCCCAGAGGCCTGTTGGCCTCTACTCTGCCTGGCGAGGTGTGCATCAGGTCTGTTTGAGACACCCTGCAGATCTCTTCCTTCCCGAGTGTGGTCATTCTGCTGGAGCAGGTTTCACATCCTCCTGGTTCAGCAAATACTCTGTCCTTTTCCTTAGTTCACGGTTTCGGGGTTTTGTTGTTGTTTTTTAAACTGAGGAAAAGTGAAAAGTAGAATCAGGTCAATAAATAATTGGCCCAAAATAATATGTAATGCACATATTCATCACTGGGAATAGCAATTGGGTTTTTAATCCAGTTTCATCTCTCAAGTTGCAAGCACACTGTCCTGACTGAAAGATAACCAGTGATATTTCAGTTCATGATTACAGCTTGCTTTGCATCAAAATAGTCTTTGGGAGACCCATCTGCCAGGTGCTGTACAAACATGTGGCAGATGAGGCAAACCTTGTTCCTTAGTACTGATGGAGGTTGGAGGGCAGGAGGTGACTAGTGGCTATCAACAGGTGTAAGTGGATGTGGAAGGAAAGCACGAGATGGGTTTCTGAAGCAAAGGCAGGCATGGCTCGCCAGGAACCAAGGGCAGTGTCAAGTTGCGTGGATGCTACGTGGCGACGGGGACTTTTGAGAAGAGATAGGGTGTAGTTCTATAGATGTTTGAGAAACTCCCTCCCAGTTTGAAAGACAGGATGAGATGCATTTTTGAAATTGAAGACAGACAGTGAAGGACCCTTAAAGTGAAGATCAGGAGTATCTGTTGATGGGATGAAGGATGGGGTACTGCTGATGAGAGTGTGAAGAAAATTTGTAAAATAAAAAAAAAGGGTAGGACTTATCTTTCGCCACACTGTGAGCTGTCAGAAGAGCAAGCCGGACCAAAAGACGGCTGGAAAAGAACAATGCAAGATGATCTTGCTATGTCTATATTAACAAATAGTGCAAACATACAGAGCAGGTTTGCAGAGTGAAACAACTCAGGGCTAAAGACCTGACATCCACATGAGACACATTTTGGAAGGTTTTATCTCATATTATCTTTAGGTAGTTCCCACAGATGGAGCAACCATTAGAAGCTAGAGCAAGTCAGGTATGCTCCTAGGACACATCTTCTGGTCTGGCTCTTCCAAAAAGTATCCAGCTCATGCACTCTGAGCTCTCTGGTGTGAACCAAAGCACAGTAAGTTGGGACAATCAAATGATTCACTTCGAACATGAGCTCCTGATCCAAACTGAAGCACCGATACATGCCTTAAAAGATTGTCCTTCTTCCCAGCATGGAAGCATCTTTCCTGGACTTAGGACAGAAGTGGAGAATAAATGCATGAATTGCCAGAGTGTGGATCATAGCTGAATTAATTTTTTGGGGGGGGGGAGGGGGAGGGTATCTGCTTTTATTTTCCCATTTGTTGCCATGTGTTTCCAGAAGTTTAGTAGTTGTTTGCACCACATTTTAAAAATAATCTCTCTGGCACACAGATTTTCATCACAGTGAATTGCTTGAGCACAGACTTCTCCTCACAAAAAGGAGTAAAAGGGCTTCCTTTGATGATCCAGATTGATACATACAGCTACAACAACCGCAGCAATAAACCCATCCACCGAGCCTACTGCCAGATCAAGGTTTTTTGTGACAAGGTAAGTGGAAAGCATAATTACCATGGATGGAGGAGGAACCTTGTTAGACAGTTTATTATTGCTGTATTTTAGACCTAATTAAATATTTTTTTTTCTTTTCCTGAAGAGTTGTGTTTCATGGTAGAATTTGGACCAGCTATATCACAAATCTAACAGATTATCGTGTAATTATTTTACTGCTTTGCAGCCTTCTTGGCCCTGATTCCTCAGCTTGTGAGCAATAGTTGGACTGTTTAAGGATAGCATGTTATAGGTCATGATACAGAAATATCAAAAAAGTTATGGAAAGCACAAACATAAAGATCTCTACTTGGAAGGTCAGTGCTGACTCACACAAGTGCCAGTCTGATGGTGTTATCCCTTCTGGCTCTAACAGCCAGGATAAGTAATGTGTAAACTTTGTGGAGAGCTCTCTGATAGAGAAATGCACTTTTCAGAAAGGCCTGCTAAGCTCTCTTTTATGATACAGTGGAAAACACCACATCCCAGTGATGCAGCTGATGTTTTTTTTCCCCCAAAATAACAAACCGTTATTTTGGAAGCTTCAATGAGACTTTTATGTTGCTAGCATTTTCTTACTGAAAGCAAACTGCAAAAATATATTAGCCGTTCCCATTTTGTAGTTCAGTAACCATTATTTTTTTTCCCTTTTTTTGCTCACTCCTCCTTTTGCAAAATTTGGTTGTTTTACAGTGGGTTTCCTCACTCCTTTGTGAGAATTGGTAAGATTTTTCAGCACCAAAACATATATCATGGCTTAATGAGTCTGATAGTGTCATGGTCAGCTGTGTATATCACTGAGTAGAAACAGTTGCTCAGAAATGTTATCTCAGTGATGATTCTTAGATGTGAGCGTGACCACGTTTCAGTTGTGTTTAACATCTGTCAGCTGATGACTTTAACCCTGCTGGGAAAGATCTTCCAGGTGGAGCTGATGGCTGGATTCTAGTCAGGTTCAGGGATTCAGGAGCCTACATCTATTTAAGTGACTCAGAAATTTATCCAAATTAGTCTTGCTGTCTTACAGGCAGGAATAGAAAGGCAAAAGGCCATGCTCCAGGCAATACGTAACATTAACTTTTTAATGGAAGGGTAAGAGTTCAACTGTTCCAGGTCTCTGTGCTGCTGCTCCTTCCCCCTTTTCAGCTCATTCCCTTGTTGCTGTCTTGACAATGGGATCTTGAGAGCTGATCAGTCAGTTGTGTTAGTGGAGCAAAAAGTTTGATAGTAATGAATGTAAATGTATGCACTGAGGTCTTCTTGCAGTCAAAATGTTACACTTTTAATTGTAACTTTGAATGTCAAATATTTAGAGATTTGAAGCTACAGCTGGATGTTAAAAGCTCAGTAAATATCAAAGTAACAAGTTGTTTTCATCTGCCTGTTTTTGAAAAGCAATTAGAAAAATCTGAATTATTTGAAGAAGGGAAGGAAATTCAGAGCACAAACTCATCAAGGGTGACCTGAAGACACAACTGGTGGAGATTTTGAATAATACATGTTCATTGCATCTATTGGCTTAATTGGTACTTCAAATATGCAGACTAGAAAGCAGGAAATGGATGTTGAGTCTTTTAATCAAAACTGTCTCAAAGTAGAAGAAAAGATCACAGGGGTAGTTAAAATGTTACCCACATCAAAACTATATTGAAGTGGGAACTGGAGGGCTCAAGGGTATTGATAATGGGATATATATCTGTATAATATAAATGTATACATGCATACACACACACAGAGCTTTTTAACTTAATGCTGGGCTGAAAATGAGTTGAATGAATGAAAATGAATGAAAATTATCAAGGTCAATTCACATGACAGTTCGTGCTAATTGTTACTTGGATGGAGACTGAGGCCTGCTTCTCTCCTCACGCTGCTGTATCCATTTGTCATGGTGCTTTTGTAAGTAAATAAATGGTTGGAGAATTTCCACTTGCTGGTAGCACTGGGAGAATTCGTTGTGCTCAGAGGAAGGTAGCTGGTGGGGCTGGGTACCCTCATCTTTCCAAGATCTACCCTTGATTGGTTTAGTGTGGACTTGGTAGTGTAGGTTAATGGTTGGACTGGATGATCTTAAAGGTCTTTTCCAACCTAAACGATTCTATGATTCTATGCCAAAATAAACCCTGGCGCTGGTTGAGGCGGTGCGAAGTGGAGGGTCCTTGGCTCAGTTTCTCTGTGACTCGCCCTCTAGTGACAAGGGCAGGGTTTGCTGCCTGTTTGGGAAAGGCTGTGAAGCTGAGACCATTGTTGCCCACCCCTTTGTCATGATCAGTTAAAGAAGTATTACAGGGTCATTTAAAAAAAAGCAGCAAACATATAATAATTTTGATGCATTTTAAAAATGTGAATTGCACCGTTATGCCCCAGTCTGACAATCTTAAAGAGAAGCTGATGAGAAAAGTGCCTGGTGTATTACAATCATCTGGATCAGAGGAGCTGCACAGTAAATTCCTCCCGCCTAAGTGATGAAATGTATCTCAGTTTGAAACGTGGAAGAAAAAAATGGTTCTGTGCCTGATGGTGTTCTTACACATGTTTTTTCTGCAGTGATGGTGCCTCTTTAGGACCAGTAGACATGTTTGTACATTAACTTAGATAAATCACAGGTAGAGGTGTCCAGTTTTTAAGAAAAACGTTTGCTGATAAATTAATGTCCTCCAGCTGAAACACAGCATAGCT